GGCGCGGCCTGTCGGGACCGGCGGAAATGGGTCTGGGCCCACCCGAATCAGCTGAAGCCCGTCCCTCTCGCCGTAGGTGCCCGCGGAACGCGAGGAGGAGCTGGCCCTCTCGGCCGGCGAGGAGTTGGCCGCCCAGAAGCGCGAACAGAGACTGCGCAAGTTCCGGGAGCTGCACCTGAAACGGGTGAGATTGCTTTTTAAAAAACTCACTGCCGTCTAGTCAGTGTCGACTCAGAGCGCCCCTGTAGGCCAGAGTCGAACCGCCCTTTTGGGTTCCCGAGACTGTAAATCTTTACATCTTTCTCCCGTGGATCGCTGGTGGTTCGAACCGCCGAACTTCTCCTGAACCAGGCGTCTTCCAACCCTAACCATGTTCCCTGCCATCCAGTAGATCGACTTAAAGTGACCACCTAGTACAAAGTAGAGTTGCCTCCGTAGGTTTCCGAGACTGTAACTTAACAGGGGTGTGGAACCAGCGCTCCTAGAAGATCCGTAGAACTGGGATACCTGCTTTGTCTTCTAATCGGAATGCTTTTATCCGTTAAGCCCACGAGTCTATTCCTAGCAGCCTCCCTGCGCCGTGATTCTTTGGAGCCCGTCTCTAGCTGGGGGGATCCGTGGCAGAAACCTGGCCAGAGGAAACGGCCTCCTGACCAGCAGCCCCACTGTGCTAAGTGCCATGATAGTGCAGTGGAAAAGGAGGCGCTAATGCTGTTGGGGGCGTCAGGAAAGCCAAGGAGTGGCTCACGTAAGAAAAGACTAAAAGTGCTGATGGAAAGTAGGATGCTACCAGAGGAGCAAGGGTGTGTGTGTGTGTGGGGGGCCTGGCCATTGTCATCTGGAGCTGGGGTCGCTGTGCTTCCTCGTGGTTTCACAAACTCCGCCTAACTCAGAGTGCTGGAGTGAGACAAAGACAGGAACACTGCCCAAAGCGCAGAGATGACCACCCCCAGCCCCTCCTCTGGCAAACAGGAGTGGTGCTGTGACATAATGCTACATTCATCCCCATCCCTTGATCTTTCCCTCCAAACACCGGACAACAAACCCAAGCCCTCTAACCAGCTGCTTGAACACACTGTGACCGAAATGCCTACCCTTTCCCATGGTGAGCTGTCTCCGTCAGTCCAGTAAGTGTTAGAATTACAGGCCTGTTCTGGGGGTCTCACTGGAGGGCACTGCAGAAGCAAGAGTATATGAGGGACGGATAGCTCTCCTTGCCTGAAAAAAGCCAGTCTAATGAACAAGGAAACACATGGGAGTGTTCATATGGAGGGACTTTGTGAAGGATGTGGGACTGGAATTAGGAGACATAACTTATGGTATAATTCTGCTACTAGTCTGTGTAAATTATCCCCTCCCCCCAAAAAATATATATAGAGTTTTTCTTAGGACAATTTATTCATTTATTTTATAGAATTTGTTTTAAAATAGGCTACTTGAACGCCCCTCTAATAATGGCTTCCTAACTTAGAAGCCTGTTCCTGTTCAACTCCAAGGAGGCTGTTAAAGGGCCCGCACAGCTAACAAAGACCAAGGTTCCATTAGCACCCCCCATCCCAGGAGGAGCAAACTCAGTGAGCCCAGTCCCTTTCCCGGGCTGTCTGGGGTCACTGAGTCGGCATCACTCGATGGCGTGAGTTTCTGGTCTGAGTATTGGAATGCAAACCCCGGGTGCTGTTCCCTTGCTTTCCATTCTTTTTTTAAAAATCATTTTATTAGGGGCTCATACAACTCTTATCACCATCCATACATACATTGTGTAAAGTGCATTTGTACATTCATTGCCCTCATCATTCTCAAAACATTTCCTCTCCACTTAAGGCTTTCCATTCTTTGCAGCCCCTCTGCTACTTTAGGATAGAGTGGAATCCGGGATGCAGTGACTCCCTTGACCCTCCTCAAAGAAGGCAAGGTCCTCATGGACTCACTTATTGTTTCAGCTGACACACTTCATGTTTTGGTTTTAGAATGAAGCTCGAAAATTAAATCGCCAGGAAGTCGTGGAGGAGGATAAAAGGCTTAAGTTACCTGCGAATTGGGAAGCCAAAAAAGCCCGTTTGGAATGGGAATTGCGGGAAGAAGAAAAGAAAAAGGTTAACTGTCCTTCCGTCTTTGTAATCGCTGTGCTTAGTCAGTGTGCTGTACAGGTGCTGTGGCTTGAGTCCACGGGCTCAGGCACCAGTGCTAGAGTGCAGGTCCTGGCTCTGCGCTTCCCCAGCGAGAGCACTCTGCACAGGTGAGCCTTTCTTTCTGGGCCTCTCCTTCTCATCTGCCTGAGGTAACTGAGTCAAATGAGTTCATGTGTGTAAGACATCTAACACCTGATAAACTGCGCAGCAAATAGTCTTTTTCGATGGGTGTTTTCGCTTATCTACCATACAGCTTCCCAAATTTCCTTTGATATGAATTATTATATTTAAAGTCTTGCTTGGTATCTTTATTAGATTTCCCTTGCTTGTGCCGTCAATGTAGGCAGGAACCATAGCTCTTGATTTCCTTTTCGCTTCTGTTTTCTCCTTAGGAATGTGCAGCAAGAGGAGAAGACTATGAGAAAGTGAAGTTGCTGGAGATCAGTGCAGAAGATGCAGAAAGGTGGGAGAGGAAGAAGAAGAGGAAAAACCCTGATCTGGGCTTTTCGGGTAAGATTAGCCTTTCTTTTGAGTGGGTCTGGTCACTAAGCATTGCCTTTAAAGTTTATGGTGTCAGCGAGGGAGAGACTTCTTGTATGTCTTTCACGGGCTAAACCCAGGAGAAGTACAGATGAGTCTCACGTGACAGAAGTAAAGGACTGGGCTCTGCGAGTCTTCCTGGGAGAGCTAGTTGAAACCCACAGGGTAGATGCTGTGGGTTGCTTCGTTTCTCTTGCATAAGCTCCTCAATCATTTTGAATTTTCTCTGAGTAGTAACACCCAAACAAAGGAATACGTATGCCATTTCTGGTTTTGATTGTATTTTCAGATTATGCTGCTGCCCAATTACGGCAGTACCACCGGTTGACCAAGCAGATTAAGCCTGACATGGAAACCTATGTGAGACAGCGGGAAAAGCAGTAAGTGGATAGGGTTAATCTGAGTCTTGTGTACATCTGGAGTGGTATGTGTGTATAAGTACTGAGTTGTGACATAGTCTCTGGTCTTGACGCCGCTACTGGTCACCTCTCAGCGGCCTCTGGGTTGT